AGGAAAAATCTAACTCACAGCTTTGTCAGCTTCAGCAGCTTGGGCAGCTGCAGCCTCTCTTAGAAGAAACTGCGAAGCATCACAAATGATTTAATAAATACACAACAATGGTGTTTCGATTGAAAAAACCATACCAACAAACAAGTAACAAAAACTACCTCTTCTGTTTGCCAAGCTCCATCTTTCCACTCCACGCATGGTCTTAACTCTGAGTAGTTAAAAACACGTCTTAAACCAACAGACAGCACTTCGTACCTATTCCCGGAAAGAAGTTCGGTTACATATCCTTCACACCATCCAAACTCGGTAAGAGCCTCGACTTTATTCATAAACTTGTAAGTTGTTAAACCAACAGGTGATGATAGTGAAGGTCGGATTTCTGAAATGGGCACACGTATCCTGGTGCGTCCATCTTTTTGACTGCTCAAACACATCTTTTTTACTTATGTCACTGAAGCAAGATTGCTACAAGCAAGTAAAATTTACCAGAAAAGTTATAGTAGCGTGCAAACGAGAGAGAGGGAGAGGGAAAGGAAATATCAAACTCACAGCTGCAGTTTCGGCAAGCGGTGTTTCACTCTCAATGACAGATTTTTTACCAGCCGCTGCAACATTTCCACCATTGGAGGAAGCAGGAGGAGGATTCTGCATAGCAACACTAGAAGAGCGTGTCGCCCTCAAATTTTGCCCTGAACCAGAAACTTTAATGTCTCTCAAGGCAGGTCGAACAGTCACCCTTATACGGGTTGAAGCGGTTGGTTCTTCAGCTGCAAGCGGACTCTCCTCATCTGTGTCATCCACAACCTGAAACTCGAACACACACACTCAGAATTCAAAGCATTTTCCCCCCAAAAAAAGAAAACCCACTGTTACAGAGAAGCAACAAACTACCTTTTCTTCTGTTTGCCAAGCTCCATCATTCTACCCCACCAATGGTCTTAACTTCAAATGGTGAACGTCTTGACTCTGTTTGTTTCCCCCCCAAAAGCACAGTGTATCTATTCCCAGAAAGAGTTTTACTAACCACACCTCGACACACCATCCAGACTCGTTAAGCGCCTCAACTTTCTCCATCAACTGGTAAGTTCTTAACCCAACAGGAGACGGTGAAGGTCGGATTTTGGAATAGGGAACACTAATCTTGGTTTCTTCACCTCTCAAAGATTTATACTTGACCACTAAATTCTCCATTCATCTTCTTCACCTCTCAAAGACTTATACTTCACCACTAGATTCTCATCCTCATCATCCATAATAGCTATAGCCGGAACCCAAACCATTCTTCCTTCTCCCAAACCAAATGTGGTCTCAAATGTCTCCCATCAACCTCGATAACATCAGGTTCGAATCTAAGATAAACCAAGAAACGTCGATTACCTAAACCCTTAACCACCCAACCATAACACCAACCACCTTTATAAGTAGCATCAACTACATCACCTTCCTCAAAATCGACTTCAGGAAGCGGATCTCGAGGCGGAACTGGACGGAATTGACGGTGGAAAGCAGTTTTGATTAGAGGAGGTGGGTAGTGTTGCTTGTTAAGAGTGTTCAATTGACGAACAGAGAGCTTCTTTCGCTTTGATTTGGCGAGATTTCAGAGGGATCAGAGGCAAAGTCTTGTGCGGCGTGTTTTGCCCGAGTAACTTCGGCGAGGAAAGAGGAATGGATTATGCAACAGTGGCTTGATATGTTGACGGTGGTGCTATTGAAGTCGGAGGAGAAAGAGAACGGTCGATGGTTATCGGCGGTGGATTAAACGTTCATCTTCTGATGTCTATCCCTTTAGCGCCACGTATGCCCTCATATGTTTAACCTTCAACACGTGTATTAGATGAGTCACTAATCTTGTGTTGTTTTGTAATTGGGCTGTTTCGTTGGGCCATGTATGCTATTTGTATGCTCTTATGGGCTTTTCACCTATTGAAAATGTCGGAAAAAAAAAAACAAATGAATAATAAATACTCATCTAGAGATTGTAGGCAAAAAAACCATAACCAACCGAACCGAACCTTAATTAGATTTTTGGTTAAGATTCGGTTTTATCTATAAACCCGTTTGGTTGCCATTTTAAAATTATTTCGGTTTCGGTTTAAAACCGTTTGGGTTTTCGGTTTTTTTTCAAAAATTTATATAATTATTATGAGTTTAAGAAATCTTAATGAGACAGAGTCTACTAATTAGTCAATTGCTACCTTAATCAAATTATATAGTCTTTACGTATTGATATTTCTTCTAGTAAAAAAAACTGATAATGATAATAAGAATGTTTTTCTAGTTTTCTCCTTCTACGTACTAGTTTTAATAAGATTAAGTTTACAATTTATTTGATTTAGACTCGGTTCTTTAAAATTTTATGTTTGTTTACTCATATTTATTTTAACTTTTTGATAATTTTTTATTTTATATAAACTATTTCTTTCGAATATCATCAAATAAACCGAAACCAATCCGAACTGAAATACAAACAGTTTATATATGGTTTGAGTTTTTTGTAAAACCAAAACCCCGAATAAACCGAACCGTAACCATACCGAAACACAAACGGTTTCTATATGATTTGAGTTTTTATAAAATCAGATAACCTGGAAAACCGAAGAAACCGAACCGTAACGAACCAAAAACCGCATTTTCAAACCAAATTTTCTCATATTTTATAACAAGATTAGATAATTACAAGATGTTAAACTTAAACCTACCGAGTTATACAATTTTTTTTATTACACATGCATGAGTCAACATTGATCGCTCAACAATACTTAATAATTAAGAGTTTTTAATACAATATAGAGAGATTAATAGACATAAATGAGATAAACGAGAAACATAAAACAGAGCACACCATACAAATTATGTAATGATCATCAGAGTGGTCACCTAGAATCTCTTAATAAATTTCCATAAAAATGAATAGATTTGCATTTTTGTCGTACGTTTCCCTTTAATGAAATTGAATTGTAAATTTTGGTAGAATTTGTTTTAAAATGTAGAAACCTGAATAAAAAAAAATTGGAATATCCGCCGAAGTTGGACCCATTTTATATATAGGCTTCTGAATTTTAGGATTAAAGACAAAAAAAAAGACTTATGAATTATTAGAATGTAGAAGCGAAGAACAAAAGTTTAAGAAGAAAGGCCAGAAAGAGAGACGAACAAGACAAAGACTCTCCTCGATTAAAACCAAACCACACGTATTGCTCTCCTAAGCCTGCATTTAAATCACAATATTTAATGATTCAATATTCAATAGCCACGCTACTAAAAATGATTTAAAAAGTTTTGAAGCTTTTATATATACCTTGTTTGCGATGTTGTTGGAGAGCCAGTCAAGTCCCTCGTAAAGCCCTTCTCCGGAGGTAGCACATGTGCTCTGTATGTACCTGTTAAAAACCAACCAATGATTTACATCAGTTCTTTCGGTTTTGATGTTCCGGTTTTTAAGTACCCGGTTTGGTTTTTTTTGGCTTACCAGTGTCGTTGACGGAGAGAGTGAAGCCCAAGTTTGTCAGTTATCTCAGCAGCGTTCATTGCGTTTGGAAGATCTTGCTTGTTAGCAAAGACCAGAAGCACAGCATCCCTCAACTCATCCTACAACAACAGTTTAAACCAAAACATAAGAAGGCAATGTAAAACCAGAATGTGGATTCTTCTTGCTTCTTCATATTAATAGACAAGTAGGTTTTGAGTTTTACTTCGTTCAACATTCTGTGAAGCTCATCCCTAGCTTCCACAACACGGTCACGATCATTGCTGTCCACCACAAAGATTAGCCCCTGTGTGTTCTGGAAGTAGTGCCTCCACAATGGACGAATCTGGAAGACCAAACGAAAACCATTGTCATGTTGGAATAGTGAAGTGTCATTTAGCTTGTTGATTACAGAGTGTAATGTAATGACAATACCTTGTCCTGACCCCCGACATCCCACACAGTAAAGCTGATGTTCTTGTATTCCACAGTCTCCACGTTGAAACCTACCAAAAAACAAGAACTGTCAATCCAACAGTACCATGTAGTTAAGCACTCGCTCACTCTATTAATCAACGCCATAAACAATGAGTCAAGAATGAAAACCCTTAAACAAGAAGAATTACACCAAACTAAAACTACTCCACAACCCACTAATGCAACCATAATACGAAAATTTTACGCAATCCCTTGAGATGAATGCAAAATGTGTCAATTTCACATACTAACTTTGAAACAAGAATTACCAATAACCACAGTACTAACTCATTAAGCACTCAGATCAGTCACTCTATTAATCAAAGCCATAAACAATGAATCAATGATGAGTACACCGCATCCAAACTAAAAGACAAATCTCTGTATATAATTTATTCAAGTTCCAAACTAAAACTACTCCATAATCTACAAATCCAACCATCAGTAGAAAAACTTTAAACAATCCCTTGATATGAATCCACAATGTGTCAATTTCACATACACTAAGTTGAGGTTAAGAAACTCACCAATGGTTGGGATGGTAGTGACGATCTCTCCAAGCTTGAGCTTGTACAAGATGGTTGTCTTACCAGCTGCATCGAGACCAACCATGAGGATACGCATCTCTTTCTTTGCAAAGAGCCTACTGAACAACTTTCCGAAAGACAACCCCATTTTCTCAAGCCTGTTCATAGTCACACACAAAATCCTCAAATTAAACTCATACTCAATTTCAGCATCCACATAGATCCAAATGTCCATGACAAATCAAAGCAAATTTTAATGGATCCTACGATTACAAGTTCCGATCTAAATTCCGATTTCAGGTGAATCCCGATCTGGAAAAAACAAACCTAGATCACTTTGAATCACAACCATGCAAATACAGATCTATCGTCTCCAACGAAAAGAATCAAACGAAATCAAAGTACAGAAATTGAGAGATTACACACAGATCTAAAATTGACGGACTCAGATCGCGCGATGGATAATCGAAAATACGATCGAGTAAAC